TATATATATATATATATATATATATATATATATATATATATATATATATATATATATATATATATATATATATATATATATATATATATATATATATATATATATATATATATATATATATATATATATATATATATATATATATATATATATATATATATATATATATATATATATATATATATATATATATATATATATATATATATATATATATATATATATATATATATATATATATATATATATATATATATATATATATATATATATATATATATATATATATATATATATATATATGGTATGAGTCAAAGATTTTTAACAAAATTTAATTAAAAAATCATCTTAAAACTCTTAAAATTTGTGTAGTTTTCACAGGAGCTTCACTCGCTTTTGGTTTAGCACTGTCCATATAATATAGTATCTTGAGTTTTTTTTTTTTTTAAACTAATGAAATGTCTATTCAAGATCATAAATGCTCATAAAAGCTATAAAAATAAGAGCTTATTTGAATAAATCTCTCATTGGAATCAAATAACTTTCAAGAAATTTTTTTCCACGTATTTGCGTATATCTTGTCTATTCTACCTGTGTTTGTCAGTAGTATGCAAAAAGTGTACAGATGAATAATCTTCTATATTCTTTTTGCCTTGAGATGTTATTTTTTGTAGGAAGCTTTATTAATCTTGAAAAGTTTGTTAGGCAGTATACTTGTGATTTTGGGTATACTATTGTCACCAGTGGTTGTTTTTTTTATGTAGCACATTTAACAAAATCAAACCTAGGCCATTCTGATATGCTTTTTTAAATTGTTTTTTGTATGTTTTACTTGTTTTTATACTTGGTTATTGTTTTAGTATTGAAAAATCTAATGAATTTTTTTTCAAATTGAATTGGTTTAAGCCAATTCTTCCTTTGTTTTCTTGCAAAATTGATTTCTTTTACATATTTTTAAGGATGTTTTAGTATCTATTTTGGATAAAAAATTTTTTATTCAATGTGTGTTTTAAGTTGAAGAAATTTTTTTTCATTAATAGGCTTAAATGTTTTATTTTACAGAATATACTTTTATTTTTCTTGCAGCAAAAGACAACATGTTGAGTTATATTATATTTGATAAATAAAACTCAGACATTTACAAATTTTAGCAAAAAATTTTATTGATTAAAACTTTAAAATTTATATTAAAAATCCGCTTAAACATTAACAAAAGTTATTAATTCTAAACTATTGATGCAGAAGGCTGTTGCAATATGGCATTAATGACATTTCATGTAGAGCTAATGGCGAGTTGCTATATATATATATATATATATATATATATATATATATATATATATATATATATATATTCTTATAGTTTGACATACAAATTAACAGTTTTTGGTAAAAAAAAACTACACCTTAACATTAAAAAGACAAAAATAAATATATATATACAGCCCTCAGAATTAAGAAAAATGAAGCAATGAATTGCTTCATTTGGCATAAGGTCAGATTTTATAGAAAAAAAGATTTTATACAAAGGAGTTTCCAAAAAACATGAAAATAAGGTTGGCAAATTTTTTGCTGACCTCAAACATGTTAAGGCAGCAGTTAAGTCGCGTTGCCGAATGCTCACACTAATTCCAAAGGCTGATATATATATATATATATATATATATATATATATATATATATATATATATATATATATATATATATATACTAGGAATGCTGAGTCTAAAAAAGGAACCTGGGTTTGAAAGTCTCAAAAAGGTTAATTCTTTCTGGTTTTTTGATATTCAGGAGATATAAAAATGTAAAGAAGCTTATGGACTACTTTTGGTGAAAAAATCCAAAAATTTTAGTTAATAGAAACTATCAATTTTTGAACTTGGAGTCCATATGTATAATGGTGCAAAGATTTCAGGACTCTAAGGTTAAAGCCAATAAGTTCCAAGTCGTTTAATTCTATGAACTTTTTTTTAATGCAGATCATGTCATCCAACCTATTTAGAGCTTCCAGACACCAGAAATCAAGAAAAAGCAGATTTAAAGCTGGCGTCCTTTTGGGTCTCAGCATCCTCGATATACAGTAGCGTTTTAAAGTAATTAGACAAATAGCTTTTGTGTTATATTTTCTCATTAATTTAACTTTTTTAAATGAAATTTCTTTTCTCTTGATACTGCATTTATGAAAAGCATGAAAATCACATTTGTGAGTATTTTCTCAGAAATGGTTAGCTCAAAAGTAATTAGACTAACTAAGCATTTAAAACAATATTCCCTCAACAAGCGATAGATTTTTTTAGCATTTTTCATAATGATTTCTTTTACAAAATGTATACAATAATACCGTAGCATTGCAAATCTGCATATAAAGCTAATACTTAAAAAACCTTTTTCTTAAATGACAATTTGCATCTATGTGGCATTGAATTAAATATATAATTAAAACTCTAATTGGTATTTCTTCTTAACTACAATTAATCAACTCAAACAAATTATGTTGATGAATTGAACTTTTTTTCTCAATGTGCTACCAAAGACGTTCAGTTGGAATCAGGTTTAGTGATTATGATTGCAATTTCAAGATGCAAACTTTTTTTTTGGAAAAAAAGGTCTGTTATTAGCTTGAATGTGTACTTCAGATTGCTATGTTGGAGTATATAATCACAAAAAATTTTATCCTTTATGTGTAATTGCATGTAGTATCATTGTGTTCTTGATTATTTTATTACACATTTTTTTCTCCATTATGCCATAAACTCAAAATTTGGACCTAACATTTGTGGTTTTGGTATATACAGCTAAACATGATCAAACCCCATTCCTGAGCTACCACCATACTTAACTATTACTTATTTCTTGTTAGGTATTTGTGCAAAATTAATGTAGTTTTAGTTCCTACTAAATGTTAAAAATATTTACTACAAGAGCCAAAATTATTAAACTTTGATTTAATACGCCATAGTCTTTTCAACTGTTCCTGTCTATTTCAACTGCTTTCTATTGAATTTTAGTTGTCTTATAATTTTAATTATCTGTTTTTGATGATTTCATTTTTTGTCATAATGTAACACTTGAACTTGGAAATATTTGAAAATAGTTCGATTGTAAAACTTTCTATGTATAGCCCAATAATAAATTTGCCACAATAATCAGTTTGTCATAATGTCCCATTATGACAAATTGATCATTGAATAATTTTATACAATTGTGCATTCAGCAAAAGAAGTTTAAAAAAATATATTTTAGATTGTCCAATTACTTTTCTTTTTTTTACAATTTCTTGTATCAATCTTCATTCTTTATAAAATATTTGTAGTAATTATCTCCCAAATGTATTTATGTTTTTCATGATTATAGTACAGTTTGACATGCTTAGAAGAAATTCTATTTTAAAAAGTTAACTTAAGAATATATTATGAAAAATCTTTTTGTGGAACTATTTTTGGATGTTGTGTGTATGTGCGTATATTAGGGTACAGTGAATTTTAAATCTTTTTAGATTTTATTTAGCCTGAGTGTGCAAAAGTTGTCTATTTATTTCAGAAATACTATGGAAAAATATTAATGCTCTAAGAAATTGTCTTGAGGTGCACCAAAACCTTTGAAATTTTAATGGGTCCCTAATATTATAAAAAAGTTTTTTCAAAAATATGTCATGTTGGGTCTCAAAACAAGCAAAATTTTTTATTATTATTAAAAAAGTACAGTTTTTTCATTTTTGGTAATAAAAATCATTTTGTTAAAAAATTATTATTCTAACTTTAAAATAATAATTTTTTAACAAAATGATTTTTATTTTTGAAACTTTTATATAATTTCGCTACTTTTGAGACCCAACATGATATATTTCACACAAGGACAGCAAAAAGGCTAAAGCTGGTACTGATATCACTCTTCCCAATTTAGCCAGCACTTTTGTGCTCAAGTCACATTCGCCCATATGCCCGTAAAAACTTTGACGAGCACAAAAAGAAGCTCTTGCCAAAAAAATAAAAGCGTTTTGTTTTGAATTGCATCAAAATTTTTTTTTCATTCGTTCAACTTTAATGAAAAATGGCTTTTTTTTACCAGATTTTTTTTTACCAGATTTTTTTTTTTTAATTATTTTATCTAGTAATTGTTTAAAACATTCTTTTCGCTTTTTTTATTTAAATTTAAATAGCAGGAAAAAATTATTTTTTAAAATTGCACAAGCTTAACTTAAATGACCATCCTGCCAGCACTTTTTTGTGCGTTGGCATTAAATTTCAAATGGGAAAGACTGTGATATGTATATATGTATATATATATATATATATTTATATAAAAAAATATATATATATTTATATATATATATATATTTATATATATACATATATATATATATATATATATATATATATATATATATATATATATATATATATATATATATATATATATATATATATATATATGTTTATATCTTCAAATTTTTTATTTATACATATATATTTTTTTTATATACATAGATATTGACTGCACAAGCCTTCGGTCATTTTTATAGTGCAGATTATTTCTTTATTTAAATAAATTTTATTTTTTGTTTTTGATCTAAAAATCCTTATTTGTCTACAGCCCAATTTGTTTTATTCTATTTTATTAAATACAGTAATAATGAAAATGAAATCAAAAACTTAGAATATGTTAGTTTAAAAGATAAAGAACTATTTAGAATCTGCTTAGAAGGAAGCCATGTTTATGTGTTGCACCTTTGTACATTTAATTATTTTTAATCAAAAAATTTCAAGTAAAAAGGATTTAAGCAAAATTATATAAACACTTTTGAACATCAATTTGAAATAAAGTAAACAAAATTGTAGTAATAAATATTAAATAAAATAGTACGTTTTATATTTTCTCCAGATATTTTAATGTAATAGATTTTTCGTGAGGATTTTATCTCTGACGATAATAAAAATTTATATTAATTTCAGATATACAATTAGGATTTGTCTTTAACCACAAATTATTTATCATTTTAGAAAATATGTTTTACCACATATCTCTTGAACACGAAATTCTGCTTCATCCTCGCTACTTTGGCCCCAATCTTCTTCAAACCGTAAAACAAAAACTTTTTACAGAAGTTGAAGGAACTTGTACAGGAAAGTACGGCTTTGTTATTGCTGTTACTACAATTGATAATATTGGGGCTGGATATATTCAACCTAGTCGTGGGTTTGTTGTTTATCCAGTTAAATATAAAGCTATCGTTTTTCGTCCATTTAAAGGAGAGGTTTTAGATGCAGTTGTTACACAAGTAAATAAAGCTGGGTTGTTTACTGAAGTTGGACCTTTATCTTGTTTTATTTCTCGACATTCTATACCTACAGACATGGAGTTTGATCCTAACTCAAGTCCTCCGTGTTATAAAACTCATGATGAAGAAGTTGTTATTCAACAAGACGATGAAATTAGGTTAAAAATAGTAGGAACTCGTGTAGATGCTAATGACATATTTGCTATAGGAACTCTTATGGATGATTTCCTTGGACTTGTAAGTTAGCTAAAAAGGGCAACCAAACTAAAAAATCAATTTGTTTCTTTAATAAATAAATTTAAGATTCATTATTTCTTTATGGATGTTTATAATTTATTTTTAGAAACATTTTAATATTATCAATGTTTTTTTCTTCAGCTAATTATTTTATTTTCAATTAAAAAGTATTTATAATCGTCTAATCAAATATTGGTATTAGTTATTTATTATGTGTTATTTGGAATCCATTTTGAATTTGAAATTTTCTTAAAAAACATCTTTATAATAAGGTAATGTAGTCCTAAGATCCTAAATAAATGTAGTTATCGCTTTTTATATCAACACTTATGTTCATAATATATTGAATCATTTATTCAGTATATTGTTTAGTAACAAACTAAACTAAGGTTTGTTGCTAAAAGAACTTGTTCTTTGTAAAAAATCTTTATAAAAATATTTTTAAACAAATTTATTATAAAAATTTTATAAAATCAAAAATTTCAAAATCGAAATTAAATATTTATAAAGTTCTTTTTTAAAATAGATTGTTCATAGGTCAGTCTAAAATGTGAGAAAAGATTATAAAATAATAATATAAAATATAATATAAAAGTATAATACTAAAATTAGAATTAAAACTTTTTTCTTAAATTCCGTTGAACAATAAAAATATGAGAATGTAAAGCTGAACATTTTATTAAAGTAGACTATAAAGCCTAAAGTTATGCAGTGCTATCATGTATTGGTGAATTGTATGCATTTGTATGTTTCTAACCAGTTTATATATTTTAATTATATATATATATATATATATATATATATATATATATATATATATATATATATATATATATATATATATATATATATATATATATATATATATTTATATATATATATATGTATATATATGTATATATGTATATATGTATATATATATATATATATATATATGTATATATATATATATATATATATATATATATGTATATATATATATATATATATATATATATATATATATGTATATATGTATATATATACATATATATATATATATATATATTTTTTTTTAATTTTACTTCACCTCCTCAAGGCCGAGAAGGCCACTACAAACAAGGAGGCTACTTATTTTGTGGCTATAACCCTCTCTCAACTCTATAACTCCGAAACACGAACCTTGACGAACAAGGCCGCTGCGTGGAGAAACGAGTTGATATATATATATATATATATATATATATATATATATATAATATATATATATATGTATATATGTGTGTGTGTATATATATATGTATGTATATGTATATATATGCATATATGCAGGGGCTATTCTAGATCATTTTCAACAACACTAACCGTATTTTGGCGTTGCCTAAGTTCAGAAATTGAGGACCTATTTTTTTTAAAGGCAAGTATAGTTTTTTATTTGGGGAAAAATGCTTACATTAAGCAAATAAAAATAAGGCAGGCGCCAGCACGAGGTGTACAGGTGCCCAATTTATTTTTCTAGAATAACGTCTAATATATGGGTAATTCCACATAAAATCACCCAAAATTTAAGAAATTTTGAACCATTGTTCCCCAAATTTTTTAAAAACTTCTTTGGCTGTTGCATCTTATAAAGAAAAGGTAAAACATAAAATTTCAGCTAAAAATGTTGAGCGGTTGACAAGCTACTGCAATTTTAACATTGACCTGGTTTCCCAAAATGACCTGGTTTTCATAATATTCTAAAAAAACGTTTTTCTTAAAAAAATAAGAAATAAAAATGGCAAAATTATGAAAATAAACATGTATAATGCTTTTTTGATGCTGAATTCAATAAATGTACTTAAAATGCTGAAATATAAAGGGAAGTTTAAAAGTTAATAAAACAACTAGTTTCGATAAACCAACTTTTGGGCCCAATATCTCAAAACACCCCTGCCAAAATTTTTTTTTTTTTTCGCTGTTAATTTTTTCAGCTACTTATAATCTTACTAGGCACAAAAAATCTAAAAAAACAAACAAACTGGATAAACAACTGAAACATGTGAAACTTTAATATCAAAGATGTATTACTTTTTCAAGAAATTAGTTTAAACTTGCAAGTTGAATTTTGTGAAATATTAAATTTAGTTTATTGACTCCTTAAAGATGAAAAACAAAACATTGTTATATTTAAAGAATTCCTAATTATATGATAACTTAGTTATTTGATCTTAACAACTGAAAAAAACATCCTGTTTTGTTTTTAAAGACTGACTATGTGTAATATTGAAGTGCATTTGTTTTTAAAATTTTGACAACTATAGTTTGTAAAAGTTTAAAAAAACTAGTTTATCAGTTATAGAACAACATTTATTAGTAAAAATTTATTTAAATTTAAAAAGTTTATCAATGTAAAAAATTCTATCAGTGTAAAAAATTATGCAACAGAAGGATTCTGGTTTGAATCAAAATTATGTAGAAAAGAAGAATTCTCTGTTTTTTTTAGGAACTACATTCATACTAATTAATTTATTATAAGATGAATGCAAAGGCCAACAAGATGTTATTGAAACTTTAGGCAATGAAGAAAAAATAACTATATCATTACGTTGTAACATTATTATGTGCAAGACATACCACAAAATATTTGAAAATGTATCCTATATGGCAGAAAGCAAGTTGTGATCCATTCAATAAACATACAAAAAAAATCACATGTAATTAGATGTAGAATTTAAATATTTTATATATACACTTTTTTAATTTGTATTTTCTAAAACATTAGAAATGTTTTAAATAATTGTGCAGATAAGCTTTATACAATTCAATTACTTTTAGAAAATCTCAGAGCAGTTACTATAAATGAGTCACAAGTCATGATGAGAAGTAGTTTAAATATTGCTCCTGGGAAGAAACTTTGCCAAACTTGTAAGCAAAATTGCCAGAAAAAAAGATCTTAAGGAAGAGAAGCAAAGTCAGGGTGAACAAGATGAGGATTTTCTAATATCATCATTCAAGTCAAAAAGACAGGAGATCAACGAAGAACTCAAAAATTTTAATATATCTCCTCTAAAATCTCATTCAAAATCATTAAAACATATACTCTCAGAAGGAAAGCAAAAAATTGCGTGCATCAACGAAATGGTAAGTAACGTTACTAGAAAAACTCAAAAAGTCAATGTTCCCTCAAAACTGTGTTATGAAACAAATAACATGAAAAAGAAGGCTGAAAACTTTGATGAAATTATGAGCTTGATAAAAGAAAAAATTCTATGTTCTGACAAAAGGACTATTGTTCAACTTCTAACACTGGCACCCCCAAGTTGGTCAATATTAGAAGTACAAAATAACTTTGCAGTTACAGAATACCAAGCAAACATGGCTAGACAAATGTTTAGTAAAAAAGGATTGTTAGCTATCTCTCCGTTGTATAAAGGTAAAGTCTAAACACAAAGAAATAGAAGATTCTGTTAAATTGTTTTATGACTCAAGTGATTTATGTAGAACTATGCCCGGAAAAAAAGATTATGTTAGCATTTAAAAGAACAATCACAAACAAAAAAAACTGCTTTTGTGTAATTTAAAAGAACTGTATGTATTATACAAAGAAAACAATCCAGAAATACAAATAAGTTACTCAAAATTTGCTTCACTTAGACCAAAGTGGTGCATTTTGCCAGGTGCAAGTGGTACATATTCTGTTTGTGTTTGTTTTTATCACCAAAATGCCATATTGCTGTAGATGCCTTAAATATTGGATTAAAGTATAAGAATTTACTTTCGAAAACTGTTTGCTCAATAGAAAACAAAGAATGTATGCTTGCACAGTGTGATAATTGTCCTGGTAAAGAAACCCTCACCAAATATTTTTGTGAGATTTTTGGAGAATACAAAGATGATTTTGCGATACACTACAAGCAATGGCAAACTATTAATCGTGCAACACTATTGACTTTAACAGCAGATGTTCCAAATGTTTTTTGAACTATTAGTATCTTGCTTTGAAAAGCTACAAGCTCATTCTTTTATTGCTCACTCTCAATCACAGTATCTTAACCAACTAAAACAAAATATGGATCAATAAAACATTATCATTATTGGTGACTTTGCTGAAAATTATACTTTTGTAGTCCAAGATAAAATACAAAGCTATTATTGGAACACCCAACAATGTTCTTTACATCCATTAGTGGTATACTATAAAAATGATAAAAGTGTACTGAAATATATTTCTTACTGTTTTATATCAGACGACATTACACATGATGTAGCTTATGTGTAAAAAATATTTCAACTAATCATACCAATATTAAAAACAAAATTTTCCAATATGTCTAAATTACATCTATTCACTGATGGTTGCGCAGGACAGTACAAAAATTGTAAAAACCTTTACGATCTATGCCAACTAAAGAGCCAATTTTCCCTTAAAGTTGAATGGAACTTTTTTGCCACGTCCCACGGAAAGTCACCATGCGATAGGATTGGCGGTACTGTAAAAAGGTTAACAGCGCAAGAAAGTTTAAAACGACCATACAGAAACCAAATTCTCACATCAGAAGCTATGTATGAATTTTGTATTGACAAAATCAAGGTTTTTAACTTCATTTACATAAAGGGGGCGGACTTACAATTGCAACATGAGGAGCAAAACGAAAGGTACTCTGGTGTAACAACTCTACCTGGTACTCGTAGCTATCATCAATTTATACATCTTGGAGATAACAGTGTTGGCGCAAAGAGGTGTAGTTTGGACACTAATTATACAATAATTCTCAACCTTAAAAAGAAACAAGATACATTTCAACTTGATACTATCACTTTAGGAGGTTATGTAGTTGTAGTCTATGATGATAAGTGGTGGATTGGCATTGTAACTGAAACCAACCTAGAAGAAGTTGATGCTAAAGTTAAGTTTCTTCACCCAAAAGGTCCCTCAATCTGTTTTAACTGGCCTGAAAGAGACGACTACTGTTTTATTCCCAACTCCAACATATTGAAAAAACTGTCCCACAAGCTTGCTCTAGTTCTGATAAAAACTATGTGTTTGAAAATACTGAAATAGAAGAAGTACAAGTAAAATGGGAACAATATTGTGAACTATTACAAACACAGTCAAAATAACTTACATCTTCGATACTTTTAAAAATCTTGTATATTTAAGTACCATTTTAAATTACGATAACTTATTTTTATTTTATTTACAAATATTTTTTGGGAATTTCTTGAAAAAGTAATACATTTTTGATATTAAAGTTCCATATGTTTCACTTGTTTTTCCAGTTAGATTTTTCGTGCCTAGTAAGATTATAAAAAAATTTGACGGGGGTGTTTTAAGATATCGGGCCCCAAAGTTGGTTTATAGAAACTAGTTGTTTTATCAACTTTTAAACATGTTCCTTTTTTATTTCAGCATTTTAAGTACATTTATTGAATTCAGCATCAAAAAAACATATATGTTTATTTTCATAATTTTGCCATTTTTATTTCTTATTTTTTGAAGAAAAATGTTTTTTTAGAATGTTATGAAAACTGGGTCATTTTGGGAAACCAGGTCAATGTTAAAATTGCAGTATCTTTTCAACCGCTCAATATTTTAAGCTGAAATTTCGAATGCAATATTAATAGGAATAATGTGTCAAAATATAAAACAAAAAGAAAACACATGGTTCAATGGACTGGGTGATTTGATGTGGAATTACCCATATATATATATATATATATATATATATATATATATATATATATATATATATATATATATATATATATATATATATATATATATATATATATATATATATATATATATATATATATATATATATATACATACACACACACACACACATATATATATATATATATATATATATATATATATATATATATATATATATATGTATATATATATATATATATATATATATATATACATATATATATATATATATATATATATATATATATATATATATATATATATATATATATATATATATATATATATATATATATATATATATGTATGTATCTATATACAACTTAAGGATCTAAAGTGTCACTAAATAAGAAAAGGCTACTCACTTTTTCATGTTGTACTGTTCCTGTATAACCTTATTAAGCCAAATCAGACTTTTGATTTTTCAGTTAAAAGCATGTGCATTTAGGTTTTTAAAGTAAAATCTAATAAAAATGTATTTTTTATGTTATGTTACAAGTTAAGTTTGAAAAGTACAAAGAAACTTTTTTTTAGTATGTTTTATTTAAATGTTTTATTGAAAAGTTAAGATAAAATGTTTTATTAAAGTTTTTTTGGTATTTTTATTTAAAATGTTTTATATGTATATTTAAATATTTAATTTGAAAATTCTTTAAAGATAAAGTTCTTATTTGGTTTTCAATGTTATTAAAATAGTTTTTGATATAAAATAATATCAATTATAAGTTATCTATTATAATGTGATATTACATTATATTTGAGGTTTAATTTAAATATATATTTCATTAGAGTAAAAACTAGAAATATTTGAGTTTTAATTTTTAAAAACGTTTTTATATTTGTTTTATATGAGTCAAAAGTATATTATTGTCTTTATTTAAGTATTGATTTCTTTTATTTATTTATTTATAACTAAAAAGTAAGTAATGATATCTGAAGATAACCAAAACAGCTGTAAACATTATGAAAAAAAGTGCTCTCTTCTGGTAAGACTTGATTTTTTTGTTATTATTACAATTAAATTAAAAGCTTTGTTGTTAGTTGTTCATCACCTCTTATTGTCCCTTTTTATTTTAACGCTTAAGTCTTCAGGCACTTGTTACAAGATTTGATTTTTGAATTTTAGTGTTCTAAAACTTTGCTTTAAAATATGTTTGTTATAAAATGTGTTAAGAAAAAAGTAAAAAGTATTTAGATAATATTAAAGTTTTTAAGCAATTCAGTACTTGTACAGTTATACATTCATCCGTCAAAAAGTTTTTTTTTTATCAATTCCTAATCTAACAGTTTCTCTATTCAAATAATGAAAATTTAAAACGTTCCTAACTACTCTCCAGAAGCCTGAATTTTTCTACTATAACCATATAAAGAATCAATTTCACCAATTTTAGAGGTCAAAAATATTGAAATGCTTTGTACAAGTGCCTAATTTGAAAACTTTTTTTGCAAAAGCTCTAGTTTCTAGTTTAGTTTTTATACATAATTTTTAGTTTTGTTTTTCTGAGCAGCTCTGAGACATCATACAAAGTAATTGTTTTAGTTATTTGTACAGTTTATAAACAGTAGCCATTTTGACATCAGTAAGTTTTTTCAAAATATGTAACCCTAAGTCTCAGGTTTTGCTGATTTTTAAACCACTCAAAGATTTTAATGAAAAATTAACATTTACATAATTTTATTATCTAGTTCTAAATTGTTTCAAAGACATAACTATTTTATTTTTGCCTTGAACCAACAAAACTCTACTATTTAAAAAAATGGTTTTGACCCTTGTTTCTTTTCAGTGTGTAATTGAAAGCTAAAAATATGTACACTTACATATTTTGGGGCAAGAATACAATATAAAAAACTTAAAACATTTAAAAATGAACACCAAAAATTTGAGTGGTCTTTTAAAAAACATAAAAGAAAAAAAAAAATCTACATAAATTTATTACTTATAAAACAGGAATTATAAAAAATCTAAAGAAGAAAAGTCTTAACTTGACAGTAATGTAATTGAAATAGTTTTGACCATATCAAATTATTTCTGTTTCCTTGACAGTTATATAAAAAATAATCCTAAATTTCATTTGTTATGATTTCATTGGCATGGCCGCTAATAGATATTCTTCAACAAGATTGGCTACTAACAGTGATGCCATCTGCTATCTGTTCTTTTAACACCTTGGAGAAAACCTTGTATAGTATCAGTTGTAGAATTAAAGAGTTAATATGGTTTGGAACAAAGGAAAAACTCTAACTTAAAGAATTGATTCTACTAAAAAAAAACTAAAAATTATGAATATCAGCTGTTAAATAGAATGAAAGCATATGAAATAGAATGAAAGCATATGAAAGCTGCAGTTTTCTTTCTAGCATAAAACTCCATTGGCTTTCTAATTGACAATGATGCTTAGGTTTTTAAAGAAATATTCTAACCCTATCATTGATAATTAAACCTAGTCATTATTTGTGGTTCTTTCTTGAAACACCTCCAGCTTTCGAAGACTTAAACATCTCTGAAAATAATAAGCATGTATAGCAGAATATCCGAACTTTAGTTTTTTGGATCACCTTAGTACATATACTTAAACGCATGTTTTGTGTACTAATGATTCAATTCTACCTCTAGTAGTATTGATATCAATATGTTTTTCTGTAAATTAGTTGTGGTTTGGATATATAATGTTTGACATATGCAATTGATTGATCACTAATTTTGTGATTCACACAGTTTTTTTGTGTATAAAAATTTTTAAAATAACTTAAAAATCAAAAAGTAAAAGTAATTATTTTTATAGACAAGTGTTTATCTTCTATACAGATTTTTACTTTTTGTTTTGTTTTTGTTTTAATGCAGGTTCAAGAAAGGTCCGCAGTTAATTAACAAAGAATGAAATGTGGACCACATTATCTGAAAACTGATGATTATTTTTATTTTAGACTCCTTGCTGCTCAAAACAATACAGTTGTAGAATATGTCATGATGAAGCAGAAGACCACATTCTTAATCGAAGTACCGTTGAACAGATAATCTGCTCACAGTGTCATGTGCAACAAGAGGTTTAAACTTGAAGTAGCTTTTTCATATGCTATTATTAGAATACCCCTTTAAAAATGTTTTGATTGTTTTTTTAATTTTTTTATTCTTATTAAGAATGAAAAATAACAAAAAAAAGCTATTATGTTGATGTTATATGTTTTAACTTTAGATGAATATTTTGGTAAATAAAACATAAGTATGTTTTGTGGTGTTTAAGATTAATTTTACTTTTGGTCTACATTTACTTGTCAAGATTGATTTTATTTTGTTTTTTATTTTAATTTTTGTATTTTTGTTATATTATAGGAAATTTTATTTTTTTCCAAACCTTTTGTTTATAATATTTATAAGTTATTACTTTATTATACCCTAGAGTAAATAATACATAAACCACTGAACTTTTTGTTGTTTCTAATCTGATGTATTTTTTATTTATCAATATAAAGCATTTACTGTTTACTTAGGCGGTAGTATGTATTATTTCCAGTTTGTTTTGTGAATAGGTATCTTGAATTCAGTTTATGTATATATATATATATATATATATATATATATATATATATATATATATATATATATATATATATATATATATATATATATATATATATATATATATATATATATATATATATATATATATATCGCTCAAAGTGAAGGAAAAAAAGTAATGGGATGGTATTCAGTAAATTAATCATTGTTATATATAGAGACTTATAAAAAGGTGGCAGGATAATATATACTTTATAGAAAAGTGGCAGGATGGCATCCTGCCTCACTTTGAGCTCTGTATATATATATATATATATATATATATATATATATATATATATATATATATATATATATATATATATATATATATATATATATATATATATATATATATATATATATATATATATATATATATATATAATATATCAGGCATGGTTGGGAAGCGGGAGCGATCGCTCTCGAAAACTGACCAGAAATAATATTTAGTTGCAAAACACTGGCCACGTTTTTTAATTGTTTTGAGAACATTTAAGTTTATGTACATAACAAAAAATTTTTGTTTTACGGCCTTTCATGGAAACATAATAAACTTGAATGTTCTCAAAACATCTTGGTGCGGAAGAATAAAAAGAATATTCGTGAACACTAAAAACTCGTCAAATTTACGAACAAACTAATTCTAATGGTTCAAAAAATACTAAGCAAAATAAAGTTCTAGAGGTTTCTGTTGAAATGTTATAGAAATTGTATTATTCATGATTTGGTTACTTTTTGAGATTTCTAGCATAAATTATTTTAAGAATATATTATCAATACTATGGCTCATTCTCAAAGCCACATCATGGCTCATTCTCGGAGCCACATCATGGCTCATTCTCGGAGCCACATCATGGCTCATTCTCGGAGCCACATCATGGCTCATTCTCGGAGCCACATCATGGCTCATTCTCGGAGCCACATCATGGCTCATTCTGGGAGCCACATCATGGCTCATTCTCGGAGCCACATCATGGCTCATTCTCGGAGCCACATCATGGCTCATTCTCGGAGCCACATCACGGCTCATTCTCGGAGCCACATGCAAAGCCGTAAATCTCTTAAACTATTATTATTTCTTTACAAAAAAAAATGTTTTATAATATATATTTTTTAAATTGTCAAAATTTTGAAAGTTTATTATAAATTATAGATTTTATTATTATATTCTTATCTTTTATTTAAAAAGTATCTATTTTATTTGTAAATATAATTTTGTGTATCTGTTTTTTATCGTAATGTAATCTTTTAAAGCAATTTTTATGATTTAATTTGTAAAAAAAGACTTACAAAAATAATTGCATTTTCAATGAAGTCATTAATAATCATCAGAGTTAATAAAACTAATTATGTAACAAACATATAAGAAGTTTCTGGTTATTAAACACAAACAATACATACAAAGTAACTAGCAGATGAACAAGCACTGCCTGATGTCACGACAGAACACAAATATATATAGCAAGTTATTAGATATAAAGAAAAATTTCTAGATATTGGTTTACTAATTCTAATTATTTTTGCTTCAGTTGCCATTTATAAAAACTTGTTAAACTTTTTTCTGCTTTAAATACTAAATAGAATTAAAAAGCTCATTCACTAAACATCATCAGTGATATTTTGAAATGCAGTTTTGCTTCCTCTTCAGAAAGCATTTTTAAACTTTAATTTTTTTAATTTCTTTAGTAATTCAATGATTTAATTATTTTATTTGTTCATCTTACTAAGAAGAATTGTTTTAAATATGTTAAACTTTTCAAACTAAGCAAAGCATAAAATAGGTATTAAAAAGTTAACTTTTTTATTTATAAAATAATTTAGCTTTGATTAAACTAAAACTTACGTTGGTTTTATTAGAATCTTGTTAGACTTTTCGGTGTCGGGGCACCGAAATTTATAGCCCGAATGTATAGCCCCCTCTAACCTCAACCCTCCTTAATCTAGCACTGGAAATAAGACACAACTATATAAATAAAAATTATAGTACACTCTTTGTTAAATGAAGAACATTTGTTTTCTTTTTAAATTATCGTAAGTTCTTACTTTATAAAAAAAACATCGCTTAATTTTATAAAAAAATTTTAAAAGAGCGATGTTTCGAAAAAATTTGTTCTAAACATAATTTATTTTGCTTTAAGTTTTTTTGCGTTAAAAGACATTATTTTCCTAATTTTTTTTTTTATGTAATTGTCTCTCATCGGTCCAATTAATCTTTAACGTTTTTTTTTTTTTTTTTTTTCTTTTTGAAATGTTCTCAAAACAAATAAATCCAGTTTTTCGCTACTAAATATTATTTCTGCGGTCAGTAATCGAGAGCGATCACTCCTGCTTCCCAACTAAAGCTGATATATATTTGTGTATATATATATATATATATATATATATATATATATATATATATATATATATATATATATATATATATATATATATATATATATATATATATATATATATATTTTTTTATAAGGTCAAGAAGAATTGTTCAAATTGTGGAATTCTCTTTGGAAAATATTTTTGTTTGAAATGTAGATTATTTGATGATAATGACAAAAAACAATTTCACTGTGATGGGTGTGGAATTTGTAGGTATAAGTTGTATTTAATGTTTAAAGCAATCCAAAAAGTGCTTTGACAAGTTTTATTTGTTTTATAAATAAATTTTTATAAATAAGTTTAGAACTAAATAAACTAAAATAAAGTAATTATTGAGATATTAATAAAAAGGTTTTTAATTTTTTTTTTTTTTTTTGACATTTTGTTTTTGTGCATAAATTAATATTAGGCTCATGGTTCTGCCTAGTTTTCTTTTCTTTTATAAAAATATTGTGTTTGAATAACAAATGAGTGTGTGTGTACTTGTAGTAGAAATTTTAAATTGATTTACACAATCAGGTTTTCTCTGTGGTGATCATAAAAAATATTCTTACTTTGTTTCAGTTTGTGATACCACTGGAGACTTGACAAAATAAAATTTGTTTTAATGTTGTAAAAACTTTAAAGCATTTTATGCACATAAGGTAGTCTACTACATCATACAGTTTTTTTTGTTCTTTAAAATATTTTACTAAAAATTTTTTTGCATAACAATTGAATCAGTTATAATAAAGCGCAAAACTTTTTTGAAATAACAATACTTTATTATGATTTGTAAAAGTCTATAATAGAATTTTATAATATGGTGCAAAGTCATTGTCTTCTGAGAAGGCATTTTTAAAATGGAAACCCAATGCTTTGTTATTTGTTACGTCACTTGATTTGTTTTTTAAAGCTAACAAGCTGTCAAGGTCTATGTTTGATAGTAATAGAGCTTCAATAAGGGTAGCACTGAGAGGGAGGAGGCTAGTGAGATGGAAAAAACTGACTTGAAATACGGCTATTACATTGCTTCCTGAAAACTTGAGATATGATCCAATGTCCTGGAAACTTGAGATATGATCTCCAAACTACCAGGATTGAATTTTGAAGTTTGAAAAAGTATAATCAGGATTGATAAAATTTATCACATTATCTTCATCATTATCTTCATCATTACCATCATCTTCATAATCATCATCATCATCATCATCATCATCATCATCATCATCATCATCATCATCATCATCATCATCATCATCATCATCATTATCCTCATCATCATCAGTATATGGTTCTCTGTTCGTTATTGCAACAAGGATTTTAGATTATTGCTGTGCCGCTCAGTATTTTTTAAATTTTTTTTCAGTATTACCATTAAGAAAGATCTAAACTTTTTAGATATGTTATTTTTGAAAAAAAATGTTGATTTTATTTTTTTTATTCATTTTCTTCAAATCAAGCTATAAACTAAATAACTCCACATTTCTAAATTTTGACATTTTTCATATTATCGTGGCGTTTTTAAGTTTCTGAGTTCAAGTAAACTTTATATAATATAAAAGTTAACAAATCTCATACTTGGGTTTTCAAAAAAAAACGTTTAACAAAATTTTTTTATATACTTTTTTAAAAAAAAATTTTCTGCTGGATGTAATATTTACTAAATCGAATTTCTAAAAAGTATAAACTTTGCTTTTGAAACGAAAAAGATTTTTTGGAAATTTAGTTTTAACTGTGAGGTGTTGCATTACCGAAACTACTCAGGTTGCATTACCGAACTTTCTGGTTTTCGCTTATAAACGAGTTTGAAGAGTCTATTTTGCAATCATTTTTAAGTTATTATTTTAAGATAAAACTTATTTACTCTTTTTTGTCAAAAAATAAAATTGATGCAAATAATAATTGTAAAATCAAACAGAAATTATTCAAAGTCTCAGAGGTGTGTTATAGGACTTTCAGGGTAAAGAAACGGACAATTAATTAAAACAGGGGAAATTTTTTAATACAGAATATAAAACTATATATTGAACGCTTATGAAAATAAATTTTAAATAAATAAAGCTTTTAATACAACGTTTATAGTTAACAAATGCGCTCATTTTGAATACACAAATAATGCTATTTTTGATTATTTTAAAATAAAAACTTTACAGCAATCTTCTGACATCTTTTTTTAAATCAAAGTAATAAATTTTTCAAGCATTTTCAAACTAATTTTGACTTTATGAAAAAAATACACACAGCAAATTGTTGTTTTAAACAATCTTCCCAGCAAAAATTTTACAGCAGAATTTTGTAGACTTTTATAGGCATTTTGAGAGTTTCCCACTTTTTTTCCACTGTGAAAAGGCTCATTGGTTACATTGTGGACCACAATTGGCAGTGGTCATAATGGGTAGCCAACAACTAGCTTTTATATTACATGTTGAAGAGTTATTGGCTAGCCACTTTTAGCGAATCTCTTAAGAAATCTATGAGCAAAACTCTAAATAACTGCTCAAAATGCTTATATAGGTCCACTGCAAATCCACTATAAAATAATTGCTGGGTTAATAAAATTATTATTGGGTATCATTTTCACAGATTTTTATAAAAACACAGTTATTCATAGTTTGTTCATATATAAAAGTTCAAAAGTGTTTCATTAATTAAGTTTATAGCCTTAACCAGAGCGACTGATATTAACCTATTTAGTAAAGTAGTTGGTTTTGATCACTGTTTTATTATTTTTTATAAAAAATTGTATATACCAGTTAAAAAAAAAATCATGATTATTATCATTAAGTACATATCTTATTTAAGTTAATTGATCATAAGTTTGAGAATCATAGTTTTTTGAACAGAAGAGAATGGACACTAGATTTTGTAAGGTACAAACTTATAAAGGAATAAACACACCATTACATGAAACCATTACAGAAAGTTAACTTAATCTTTGATTAATTCTATTGAGAACTTTCTTAGCCTAGCAATAAGAAACAATCTTAACAATTTGTATGCTATAAAAAAAAGCTGTTTAGGCGGTTTTGTTTTGTTGTACAGATTGTGACGACAAGGAATGTCAACACCGTATTTGCCCAAGAGAAACTGAGACTTGGTGCAAATATCATTTGGAGAAAGTTCATAGTGAAAATATTTATGTAGAGCAAGTAAATATTTTTGTTTCAGTCTTCAACATTTTGAAACCAACTTTTACTGATTTATCTTCAGATGATTTACTAAAACACCAACGAGACACAGAACCAGATTATTTGGAGACGCTGATCAAAATGTATTTTTGTGAGTAGAGGGGTCTTTGAGTCTGCAGTTAATTCGTCTGAGATTGAATTTTATGAAGGTCCTAATGGAATCTTATTTGTACTTCATAAATTTTAACTAACAGAATATGTAACGTCTATGAAACTTAATGAAAAGAATAAAGAAGCTATAAAGCGGTCTCTTAAATAGTCCACTGAACGTGTCAAAAAGAGAGAAAAATAGCTAAAAACATTTAAAAAGGTTTAGTTAGACAAAGATGCTAAAGAAAGGCTTAGTTAGACAAAGGTAATAAAGAAATTGATAAAGAAAAAACTCAAAATATATTCGTGGAGGGTTTTAATATGTTTATATGAACTTTTTATTATGGCTTTATTCTTTTGTTTTACATATTTGTTGTTTCCTCAGAACTAAGTTTTGCCTCGAATAAAAATCTTTAAAATATGATTAACTTTAAACTCGTTTAAGATTTGATCTCATTTTTTTTTTTGCGATTTTTTACATAATTAAAAATGATCCAGATGAGAGAAGGATATTTAAAACAAAATAAGGGAAGTACTTTTTTATGAGAAAAATTGCTGGGCCAATGTTCAGCAATTTTTCTATGTTTGTTTCAAATGTTGTAACCTTTTATATATTATAAATAATAAAAAATGCTTCACTTATCTGGATTAATATACCTCATTAGTATATAAACCAATTTTCAGCTTGATATGATAAATATTTTGATTGCTAGCTTGTCACAAAAATTGCTAGTTTTTTCACTCTTATTTTAATCAACTGGGTAATCGAGACATTTTTTTTAAGTTAATTTTTTAAAATAGCTTATAGAACCAGATTTTTGGTGAAAAATATAAATCAAAAAAGTTTTTCTATCAAAAATTTGCCTTTTCTGTGGAGGACTACCTCAAGCTTAAAATTATTTGTATTTGTGTATTTTTATCCAAAATAAATTTAATAATGGATTTATTAGAATGGAATCTTTTTTGGGGCACGTCATATAATTTTGACCTGCAAGACCCAGTATAAACAGGATTAAGTTGTACTAGAAATAAGATTATTTATTTAATGATCTTATCATCTTGAGACGAACATTTTTTGTTTTTATAAAAGTTGATGCACTTTTCTTTATATATTAAACATTAAAACAGCGCTATCTGAAAATTTGAATAAATTACAAAATATTTATGCACTTTCAACGGCCATCTCATTAAGTCCAAAAAATTAAAAGATTATCCATAGTTTTTATAGATAAAGGAAGACAAAGAAAGATATCAAACGTTTTAAAAATCTTGGGTTATTGCAAATCTTAGACCAATGAAGCAGTAATATTTTGTCAGTGTGCTTGTTTTATCATAATGATTCATTGCTTCCATAAGTTTTGAGTTTGCAATTAAAAAAATTGTAAAAAAAATTTGCTATTAGTCATCGGAACACGATAAAAGAGCAAAATAAATTTGCGTAAAAAAAACCTACAAAATTATACCCATAAAATACCACACATTGGCATTTACCCTAAAGCAATTTTATCTTTTAAGCGTGAAAAACAAAAACTTACGAGTGTATAAATACTTGAACAATATTTAAAAAAACAAAAACTTGTATTTTAAAACACAAGCTATATATACAAATTTGTTTCCTCTCAATTTTAATTTTTAGACCCATTTTCTCATACTTTTTAACAAATAGTTTTTTTTCAAAACTATTTGTTGTATAACTGACAGATTTTTAACGGTACCATACCTACTTGAAGCATATTACGAGAATTTTTTGTATGCTTGCAAGTAAATTTAATTTAGTCTTTAAAGTTCCTGGACCCAATAATAGAGCAATTTTTTAAATGCAAATTATTTTCTATGTCAAAGGCCGTTTTTTTTTTGAAAACTTTGTTTTATTAGGATGTTCTCAGAAGTCCTAACCGTCTTATCTCCAGAAGTCTTTAGCATCGTTATAGACTTCTGATGATATGTATATAT